TAATAATAATAATAATAATAATAATAATAATAATAATAATACTGCTGTCTGGAGACGGCAAAGAACACCCACTATGAGAAAATAAGAGGACCCTCCTGGGACCGGGGAGGGGGGACACTCACATGCCCCACAGTTGGGTGTGGGTTCCCTCCGTGTATTTTTCCTTGGGGCGCACCAAGGCCTCTCCTGCCCCTTCTAATCCCCCCGGGAAGGAACCGTCCCCCCTCCCCAAAAAGAGCTCCCCTCTTCTCCCCTTCCACCTGAGGGCACCCCAAAGAGCCCCCCCAGAAAGGTGGGGAGCGAGCTGGCCGTTGTTGCGGGGTGGAGACGCCCGTGCCCGGAGGGGGGGGTCGCGAACGGGACATTCGGCTGCCTAACCCCGACACGGACGGGAAGAGAGACGGTCCAATTCGCTTACCTCTCTCCGCCACCAGCTCTTCTCAGCGACCAGAGCGCCCACTCGGGCTCAACCTCCTGCATCACTTCCGGGGGGTGGGGCCTTCGCGGAGAGTCAGCTGGCGGCGCGGTGACGTAGAACGCGCTCCCACGCGCTTGACGCCGCGCGCAGAGTAAGGGCAAAAGGGCTGGCTTTGGCTTTTCCCCTGTTTTTGTCGTCTCCGGAGGTGAGTGAGGGAGAAAATCCATGTCGGGGGGAACTATGTCACCCGGCTCCGGGGGGGTGAGATAAAAGTGCTAACTCTGCACGTAAATCAGAAAAGGTGAAAGGGGACGAGCGAGGAGAGACGAGCGTCTATCCTAAAGGCAAAGAGAACGTCCTGAAAAGAGGAGGCGTCGGCTGAGGTGGTTCTCCCACCTCATATATTGGTATCGCCCAAACATTGGCCCGCAAGAGAGCAGCAGCGCATGCGTTGCTCTTGCCCTCTCAGATAGGGGGCGCTACAGGGTGGCAAAATGGCGTCACTAATGTCAAGGACTGAGCCAAACAAGAACCCATTTTTCTGTCCCTCCTGGAAGCAATGAGACATATGTTCTCCTTTTCCTTCCAACATTTGAGCTTTTTTCTGATTAGGAAGGTTGCCATGTAAACCTCACAGGGTGGGGTGAAGCCTCACCTGGAGGAGGAGCCTTAGAACTAGGGGTGGGGCCTTGTTGCAGGGGTGGGGCCTGGAAGGACTGAGCGGGGTGGCTTCAGTGAGACTGTTAGCTGAAGGGCAATCTAGACCTCCTGTAGAAACCTTTAGACAGGTTTTATTTTCTCATAAAATAAAAAAGATACAGGTTGTATGTCTATAATTGTCTTTAATTTCAATTACCTGCAATGGGCTGCTGTGTATTCTCTCCCCCCCCATTCTGGCAGCTGTCATTGTAGCAGGAGGCCCATATTCATCTATAGGTAACAGTGATCATCCATCCTTTATTATAAAGACCAGTCTTTTATTTCAGAAAGCTGTCCTTTAGATTTATTTTTCAAAAACTCACTTTTGTCCTTTATTTTTTCCAGGAAAATAGTGTCACTGTATCCTTTTATTTCAGAAAGCTGTCCTTTAGATTTATTTTTCAAAAACTCACTTTTGTCCTTTATTTTTTCCAGGAAAATAGTGTCACTGTATCCTTTTATTTCAGAAAGCTGTCCTTTAGATTTATTTTTCAAAAACTCACTTTTGTCCTTTATTTTGGTCATTTAACTTTTCCCATACACTTAATGCAGTCTTTCACATTCATGTGAAAAATACGGAAATTGAATGGTTTTTTAAAAATAAGTGTAAATATACTGTTTGATTTTAGATATTTTTATTTGAATATGTATTTTTCTAAAGTTTTCTTGGTTTGGTTCTTGAATTTTCCTTTAGAAAGCAAAGTTATAAACATAAACAATTTTTTTTTATCCTGATGAACCTCTTTCTGATTGGGCCCTTTTTCAGGTTTGTCCTTTATTTTTTCCAGGAAAATAGTGTCACTGTATCTATAGGAGCCAAAACTGCAGTTTGGCTTTCTGAGTTTCTGTAAGCTTATAATAATAAAGTTTATTAATCTTAAAAGCTGCTACCTGACTCTGATTTGCAGCAGTTCATAGACAGACACCATGTTAATCGATGTCTCAATGAAATTATACAAAAAGCAGCCATTTAGACACAAGACTTTGAAAGGCTTTGCATTCAACCAACCCAAAAGCCCACCCACGTTTTTGCCTCAAAAGTTGGTCTAGACTTTGAAGAAACAGCCCACGTTCAAAGAACTGTATTTCTTGCTTACAGTTGTGGTTTTCTGACTGCAGCCCACAAACCACCAATAGTTCTAGAAGACCTTTTGAATGGGCTCAGTTGCTCTGAATCAAAGCAAAAGGTGGGAGGAAGGAACTGAGCATGAAATGCATAAAACATGAACTCCCTAAGAGAAAAAACTGGAGACCAATGGCTGAATTTTACTCATCTTTTTTATTCGGTTACAGGGTAATCCAGCAGCACGTCACAGATTTTATTGCAGGAGGCAGTTGCAATCCGAGACAGTTATATAATGTTCCGTATGGGGCATTGGATATAAATGCTTTGTTTCTTTCAGAGAGTCCCAATCCAAACACCTCATCTACAGCAATTTGGAGCTGCTATAGTGATTTTCCCCAAAACTATAGGAAGTGAAAACCTATAGATTTTCTTCTGAACCGTAAGCCGAAACCCAAAAAATGAATAAGAAATTTTTTAATGCTAAAATTATGCATTTTTGAACATCTCTTTGCATTGACAGATGAGGGTATTTTTGATCAGCTAAAAGAGGAAACTAAGAAGTTTCAAGAGAAAATTTTACTTTTCTGAAACTGGGGAAATCAATTTAAGTTGATGGACTGCAGCGTCAACCAATCGTTGATATGAACTTTTGCTTTGGGAGAAAAACAAGTATTGGCCTATGGCGCCAGTTAGGAAGAAAAGTAAACCTTGGTGATTTTTAAAGTAGGGGAAACACATTTGAGAGAAAAGCAGCAATATACACAGGCCCATGCTCTTTTCACTCCAATTGGTTAGACACGCTATTGTTTAAATTGACTTTGGTTCAGGACACCAATTTGCATTTTTCTGATTCCACCAATGTCTTTGAAGCAAAAAATGATTTCCCTGCACATCAGCTTGAATCCCTGCTACTTTAATAGGAAACATATTCAAAGATCGGGGGACATCCTTGCATTTTTGGTGGTAGTTGCCTGAGCAGACCAGCCCCTTGCTATTCTGAACTCTCCAGCCCTAAAAAGTTTAATTTTTTTTTGGATCAAAGGGAAGGTCCAGGAGCAGTTTCAACTAGCCTCTAACACGGTGTTTCTGAACCTTGGCAATGTGAAGATGCTGGCTGGGGAATTCTGGGAGAGTTGAAGTCCACACATCTTCAGGTTGCCAAGGTTCAGAAACACTGTAGCTCACCAGCAGAAAATGAAAAGAGTCACCTTCTCATATTCACTTAGAGATAACAGTGCCTTCAAATTCAGTGTTGCAGAATTTGGAGATCCCATCTGAGGCAGGGTCCCCCAGTTGTCCTTTGTATTCTGGCCATCTCTCTCCCCCCGTCTGCTATCGTTATGATATGTGGCTGGAGCCCAAGAAGCTGCCCCACGAGGTAGAGAAAGCGGTTTAACCTCAACACTAGCTTTTAAAACCACAGCTATCAAACCCCGGAAATGAACTTTTCGATACTGACTACTGCCAGGTCTTTGTTAGCCTGCCAAGTTGTGCAATTTCACATATCAAAAGATATGATTTCATCCCCTGGATGTCCTGCCGGCTAAGCAGATTCCCAGCTGGCTCATGCCCACGACAAATCGCTTTCAGAATCTGATTCTCTCTTCAGCAGAATTCCGGCAGCGATGAAAGTATAAATCTGGACATACGAGAGGTAGCAAGTTGGTAATACAGTACTTTCCTGCTCCCCATGCCAGTAAACCAGTCTGCCCATTGTCAAAGAGGGAAAGTCAAGATTTGCTTGTGCCAATTGAGCTGTCCTAGAATGAAGTGATCTTTTCAACTGAGCCAAGTCTCCTCTCTCCCCCTCCCATCAATCCCATAGGAACTAAGGGCCTGCCAACCCCTTATTTATACCCAGCCTGGCCCAGCAGTGGCTATCAAATCACTTTTCAGGGAGGAATCTGACCTAACGAGGTTTCTATTCTGCAGCGAAATGCACCATCCCCTAAAAAACCATCTGTCACCTTTCCCAGCTGCAGAAAAATTGTGGGTCATTACTCCAGCTAAATGTTATAATTTAGCTCCAAAGACAACAAAATGGCTGCATTTTAGAATGGAGTCGCAGACATGAAGATTGGGGACCTGGTTATCCTCTGCCAATCCTGACAATATAATTCTTCTAAGTGTGATTTAGGAGTGTTAAGAGGCAGCTACCACGAGATCCTTGGTCACGGGGAATGCCTCCTAAACAGTCTTGTTTTCTTAACTTTGTTAAACCCAGCTTAGATGGCTACTGTGACTTTAAGATTGTTCTTGCAAGAGAAGATACAGTAAATGTTGTTTTCCCTGATTAGGACTGGCTGGGGGAACTGAATTTGCAGCTTTTCAGTTGTTAAAGGAACAAAACTCCAATGCTAGTTGGTTTTACTTAAGCCATAATGTGCTCTATGGGCCTTAACCTTAATATCTTATTAAGCATATAAACATGATATATAAATATGCTTAATATCTTATTAAGCATATAAACATGATATATAAATAAATAAATAAATCTTCTGTGTCCTGAGACAAATGCAATTTATTTAGTAAACCATTGTAAAAACATGGATTAATATACGATCCAACTGTTTGCTAACTGTTCCCTGAACAGGCCATCAATAATTTCTCCTGAGAACACTAAGAAAGAGAGCATTATGCTCATCTGGTGGAGAACCAAAGTCGTGAACAATGAAACCACAATCTTTCCTTTACAAGAACGCTTGGCTGTGGAAAGATCAGCAGTCCTGAACAACAGAAGTTGTTTTTGTTCACAGAAAGAGGATGAATTTGTCCAGCATTTTTGAGTCAAGCTTGCCTTCTGCGTGCATCTGTGCCAGCTTGGATTCACCATGCCTTGGGTGCAAGTAGAAGGAATGTCTGAACATCTGCATTTAACAATTGGTGTCCTCCAGAGGTTTTCACCATCAACTCTCACAATCACTCTGAAGGATGATGGGAGCTGATATTGAATTATTTTGGAGGATTGCAGGCTGGGGAAGGCAGATGTACATACTGATGATGCAGTCCCCATTTTTCGCCAATTTCTTCTTCCATCCCCCAGTTGTATCTTCCTAATGCCCATTCGCTCCTAGGGTAGCAATTTGGCCTCCTTCACAGAAGAGACAGTCATCTGAAGGTCTTCCAGAGAACAGATTTCTATTGGAGGCATTCTATATTTGAAGTTAATCTTGTGTAAATCTGGTGTAAAGGTGAAAAAAGGAGAGCACAAGGGCTTGAAGCCCATCTACAATTATCATTTGGGCACAGATGACCTGGTCAGTTTTTCATTCCAGAATGTGGTATATATTTAATGTATTGAAATCTGCATCAATATATATAGATCAACAGAGTCTAATTTTGTGCAGGTCACTGTCCTCAACTCTGTGTGTGTTGTATTTTTTTTTTTTCCTTTTCGTTTGTCCCCCTTCACAACATCCTGCTTCTGATTTTGAGGCATATTTGGTCTTTAGGACAGATTGGGCATATTTTTGTGTATACTGATACCAGCTGGGTATTCCCTTGCCCTAAATTTAGTACATGGAAAAGTAACTATTATCTACGGTTGGCAGATAATTGTAGTTTTCTGGGTTTTTTCCCCCCTTTTTGCTGGTTCTTTCCATGTTCACTGTTGGAGCCAAGAAAATATTTGAAACTAATTGAGGAATATGTGAAAATGTCCATCTGTTTGGAGGCCCTTTTTTTTCACAGGCCCAAATGCTCACCCAGGAATCCTCTCATTTTTCTAGATGACACCAGTCATTCGTCAAGAAGTCCTTGGCCTTTACCGCAAGATATTCCGAATAGCCAAAACATGGGAGTCAGCATGTGGACAGATGGAAGAGACTGTGAAAGAAAAACAGTATATTATCAGTGAAGCTAAAACATTGTTCCAGAAGAATAAAAATGTGAGTGAGCATTTGGCCTAGATGCATTGTTGAATCATTAGGGTTTTGCGTGAGCATCCAAGATGGTGAGGAAATGCCTTTCTCCCATTTGGTTTCCTGAGTGCCATATATTCCTTTGTGCAGACACATCAACTTTTTAGGTTTTCAGCAGGGTTGGTGGAGCCAGAGGCCTCACAGATCCAGCTTTCTGTTCACTGAAGGCTGGTGAAGAAGAGGCTGCCCCAGAAGAAGCTTCAGTTGGTGCAAACCATGGCAGTGAGAATGCCAACTGCCAGATAGATGAAGGATGAGGTCATCCCAGACCTGAATGACTGCATTGGTCACTAACACCTTTCCCAGCACAATGCAACACGGTGGTTTTAACCTTTAAAGCCCTAAATATCCAAAGACTTGGCTACTTGTGTGGTTCAAACATTGCACTAAGCCACGGTATGCTTACATATGGTGTACTGAAGGCCACCATCTCAGACTGATCAAGATTCAAGGAAACAGGTTGATAAACAATCAGCCATAAGCTCCTGCGTTATCACTGAAGAGACCTTCCAATTTGCAGCATCACAAAAAGGCAGCAAGAAAGAAATGAGGAAGATAGGTATGTAATCTGAGGTACATTGGTTGGAGATAGGAAATAGTTCAGTCGCTGGAATTCTTGTAACCCCCAATGTCTTCT